GACCACCGTTTTCTGGTGATACCACAGTGTGATACTCAAGCACATATAAGATGCATTGTGATACTATTGTGTTACATATTCAATCGACCGCACAAACGATACATATTCGAAGAGAGAAGAGAGGATAGAGAAGACAAAATACCCAAAATGTCTTTGCATTAAAATTTTAATTAAAAATTACCAAAATTAAAATTTTTCTAATTTATCTATTGATTTGTGGTTGAGATTGAATATCGCGGTTACCACAAACTAATTAGTTCTCATTTGATTAGGCCCCTGTGTATATATATATATATATATATATATATATATATATGTAAAGTCAGGTGTATATAAAAAACAATAACTAAATAGAAAAAATAAAATAAGAAGAAGGTCAAATCACATTTATAAAACATCTATCCTACATGTATATATATAAATCTGTAATATTAAATTAATAAATATGTATTTTTATTAAAAGAATTAAACACATTTATTAAATACACAAATTAAAAAAAAAATAACGGGGATATATAATAATCCGCATGGGTTGGTGCAATAGAAAATGTTTATAGTTTGCTTCTCGGAGGAGAAAGGGGCGGAGGTCCACCGTCGGCGGCTGCGTAGGTCACCTCGTCTACGGTGGTAGGTTCGTAACCTACTTTTAGGACCTTGACTCCGCTTTAGTCAATTTTACCCTTTAGAATGCAGAGTTAGCAAAACAGACCCTTCAATCTTTTTTAGCATCAATTATAGTCCTAGTTTTAGATAACTCGTTATAAAGTCAAGGCTTGGATTTACCACCACGCTAACCCCTGTGACTCCATTCTAAGGCTTGTCTTCCATTGTAACGTGTTACTATGTATTATGGCTCATTATAACACATTATTTTGTAAGGTGTGGTTTTTTATAATATATAACATAAGAATAAATGATAATTGTGGACGGGATCTAAGACTTAAATAAAGATAAAAGAAAACTTAATAACTGAAAACCTAAATAGATAAATACTTACTCTCATTCTCGTGTATGCACGTAGAGTCGAACATAAATTCTTTGAAAATTGAAGAAAATAACAAGTAGAGATTGAAGAGATTTAATTCCGATTTTGCACTATTGATATCGGTTTTTATAAGCTCTATATATATCAACAGTTCTTTCATTTTTAGTTTTATTATCTCATATGAATTTTAATTTGTTATATGCTATTATTTAAAACACTAAATATACCCTCCCCATACACACACACACACACATATATATATATATATAGGCGAAAGATTGAGTGAGATTGAGAGTTAAGATGAGAAGCGTAAGAAGAAATTTGGACCTTGATCACTTCTAATATCAAACCCACCTATGAATCGTGCTTGATACAGGGATTGATCTGGTGCATCTCATCCTAATGTGCATCTAAGGGTGAAGATCTCTTCTTACGCTTCTCACCTTAACTTTATTTCTCACCAGAACCCAACCATATGTGTGTGTGTGTGTGTGTGTATATATATATATATATATATATATATATATTGTCGACTAAGATCACGCATTGAAAAACATCGTGGCCTCGCTGTAACTTGTAAGGCTTGAGGTTTGATCTCGCCGACACGCCACGCCACGCCTTACGTCATTTAGAACCATGAATGTAGTCGATACTATTATGATCCTGTTAAGTTGTTGATACATTTTTAACAATTGTATAATTATATAATCGTATAATTATATAATCAATCTTTTGAGCATTTTTTTATCATGTAAAAATTGAGTTTAAGAGCATCTTCAACAACTATGTTAAAATTGAGAAACGAGAGATTTTAACAATTTTTTTGTTCCAACAATTATGCTATCTTATATGCTAAAATAGAGGGGAAATATTATAAAAATCTCTAAATTCAGAGAAAATTTCTAAATAGAGAGATAAATTATTATTTAATACTTCCTGCTAACAAGATGTATTGAAAATAAACGTCTTGGAAAGAAAAATAATATTTTATTAAGTGTATTGTATATTTTAATAATATAATTAATAATAAATTTACTAAAATAAAGTAGCTGTTGGAGTTAAATGTAATTTTATTATAGATCTTGATTTGTAATACTCTATTTTAAAGGAAAAAAATATAACATAGCTATTGGAGATGCTCTGAATTTTATAAACACCCTTCTTCTGTCCCAAAATAAATTTCATGTCGAGTTAGATGTATGTATACGTTTCTTTTGTTTCTAATAGTAGAGTGGTTGGTAAGGTTATGAAAATTGGGAGGGCAATTTTTTCAATTCTTGCTTCTTTTTTCCTTTGCTTGTTACAAAAGTTATTTGATTAGGTCGAATACAAGAATTTTCAATCTTTTTTTTTCCTGAACAGTCTAAACGAGAAAATGAATCAGAAAGAAGACTAACTTTTCATATTTCTTTTTTTATATGGTCGTAAAAGTGACCGCTCGCTGGTGAAACAAACTCTTTTCTCATGTTTGAAGCCGTTCATTCGTCAACTACAAGTTATATTCATAATAGAATAGACAAGTAGAAGATGATGGGACGGGAAATGGAAAAGCAAGAGAGACAACTGTTTTGAATATACAAGCGTCAACTTTCCAACGTATGTTCATATACATATATATGTAATGCGACTTGGTAAGCGCTTACAGGGTAAGAGTTTGGTAAACGGCCCCACATCTTCCATTTGCAGCCTTATCTTCAGCATCCAAATATGCCCCTAATCATTGGAGGTTCCGAAGTTGCCACTGAAAATTAAAGTCTTCATGAGAATAAACTATATACAAACAAAAGTTCATTCACACATTGATGGTGGTCCAGCTTTTAACTTTTGCATCCGTTATATAGAACTCACAATCGAGTCTTGATTTCTCTATTTCGTGAAAATTACACCACTTTCTTTTGTAGAATCATTCAATATTTTTTTAAGTATATAATATTTATATACGACAAATAAAACAAATAAACTCACACACCTTCCTCACCTTTGATGATGTTTGAACCTTTGACCTCTAAAAACTCACATACCGCTAGGCCAAAAGCCCTTTGACGGATCATTCATTATTCGCTGTATCTATATTGTAAAATAAATAAATTATAACTATTTATTACACAATCCTAAAAATCAAGGTCAAGAAAGTCCACTTATAATTGAATCACACATGTTTTGAGTTATTCACTCTAAAAATGGCTCAACAACAGTAAAAATTATATATACAATATTCGTTATTATTAGTACAAATTGTATTTATGGGGTGTTTGTGATTGCTTATTTAAAACAACTTATGTTTTTCTATAAAAGTTTTTATCAACTTACTACAAGTTAGAAGGGTTTAACTTATTCAAAAACTCCGTATTACCGGTTTGACACCGGTATAAACTGTTTATCCAAACACTCAAAAGTGCTTGTTATCGGTGTCATACATAAATAAGTCAATAAATTATTTTTATAAGCAATCCCAAACACCCCTAACCCCTTTAAAAGACAAGTAAATTCATTCAATTGTCACTTTGAAAAAAACCGTATGTCCAAGATGTACGATGAAGTTTTATATTGGTTTAAAGTTTGAATTTTTTTTTTAAAGACACATTAAAAAACGTAGATTTTTAAAATATAGACAATTTATTAGATATTTTTTGGGAAATACACGTTGAAAATACGTTTCTTAAAGTAGATATTTGAACATGATTTTTAAAAAATATATTTATTTAAAGGAGATGTGGTTTTAAATACAAATCATTGTTACATAATATATAAACCAGTCTCAACTGTTTGTGCAGATTATCAAATTAATGTTGATGATGTGAATTAAATCGGTTTTGAATTTTTCTCTCAACCTTATTTGCAAATGATTTGGTCACTGCCTAAAAGTTTCAAGATGCACAATCAAAAATCGAGTTTGTTTGTATTTAAGATATTCTCGGTTAAAATAACAAAGGGAATGAAAATACATGGACAAAACTTGACGACATATTATTGTATTAGAGTCCCCTTCTTTTGCAAACTCTCTAATTGTTAGAAACCATACAAACTAATCTCAACAATCTATATAGGCGAATTAATACATGGTGTATAAATATCTAGAATCACTCAAACTGTTTGTTTTTTTTTTCATTTTTTCAGTCACTTATGTCTTACTGTCCTCTTACCTGGTAAGAAGTAAATCAACTTTTATTTGCCTCTCATTGTTTTCGAGACCCCAACAAAGTGTTTCTCAATCACTCCTCTCTCAATCAATTAACCTTGATTTCTTTAATATTGTATAAATGTATATAAAATCACAATTATAATATTTTGAAGGGTAAAATATGTAATTATTCAGATTCAAATATCTATCGGTTTATAAAAATGAAGTTTTATTGATTTAACTTTCAAACTTCAACACCATCTCCTATCAATAAAAAGTGTTTATGACATCTTTAAAAATAAATAAGCAACTTAGGCTGTTTGGCAGTTGCTGAATGGTTTGGTGCAGAATGATTAAGTGATCAGAATGATTAAATGACTCTCATGATATAATGTAAAATGAAATATAATTGTTTGATAATTGTTTATAATGAAAGTAGGGCGCTGAATGGTTAAGGGAGGTTCAGGATACAAAATCATTAAGAGAGTTTTAGAACCATTAAGAGACAAATTTTTTTTATCAAACAAGATTCACCTCTTAACAATTCAGAGGTTGCTTCTTAATCAGAGAGTTTCTAAATAATCTGGATACACTTGTATTAAACATTTTTATATGGTCGACTTGGTAATTAAACATTTTGTAATGAAATGATTAAAATAAAAAAATAAATTAAATTCCATGATTAAAAGCATAAGAAGATTTAAGGCATCTGAGTGAATCTCTGTTTTTCTTTAGCTATGAACATGTCTTTATCCGCCATTGTTTCTCTCTCCCTCTAAGAACGGCCACCGCGTGTATGCCTTTTCTTCTCATTCACCACTCGTATTACTTTCCATTCTCCACTCCTTTTCACAATTCAATCTCTTCCCAAATTCAGTTTTTCGTGAAGGGATTATGAGAGGCGGAGGAGGGAGAATCGGGCGTCACGAGCGCCGGTGGGCGTCCGACACCGTGCCGGATAATATATTAAGTGGCGGGTCTTCTCCGGGATACACAGATACGTCGTCTGTGAATCCAGGGGAGGAGTTTGTGGAGGTCACGCTTGATCTTCAGGATGATGATACTATTGTTCTACGTAGTGTGGAGCCGGCGACGGTGATGAATGTAGATAATGATATTGGAGGAGGTATAGAGACTCCGCTATCAACGACGTCGTCTAGATCTCCGACAATGCGACGAAGCTCATCGAATCGATTCCGGCAGTTTTCACAGGAGTTGAAGGCGGAGGCGGTGGCGAAAGCGAGGCATTTTTCGCAGGAACTACGGAGGTTTCCATGGAGTTACGGGCACAGATCTCGTGCATCGTCTTCCTCACCGATGCAAAACGTTCCTTCTGGAAGCGGAGGATTGGATTCTGCGTTGGCTGCGCGAGCGATTCGTAGACAACGAGCTCAGCTGGATCGAACTCGTTCTGGTGCTCATAAAGCTCTTAGAGGTCTGCGATTCATCAGTAACAGTAAAATTAACCGTGTGGATGCTTGGAATGAAGTTCAGAACAATTTCAACAAGCTTGCAAAGGACGGATTCCTCTATCGTGCAGATTTCGCACAATGCATAGGTTTCTTCCTCAACGAATTGTTCAATTTTGGATTCCGAAATCTTCTAGTCAAAATTCTGCTCTGTGATTCATTTATCTTCTCTTCAAATTAGAAGTATATTCTTACAGATCCGATTTATCATTTTTCCATTTGAAGGAATGAGAGATTCAAAAGAATTTGCTCTCGAAGTCTACGATGCTCTTAGCCGAAGACGAAGATTAAAAGTTGACAAGATCAGTGTAGATGAATTATACGAGTATTGGACTCAGATAACCGATCAAAGCTTCGATTCTCGCCTCCAGATCTTCTTCGACATGTAGTTCTTATAATTAATAGTTTGTTTCACTCGATTTCTTCTTCAAATCACCAAATTCATCTTACCTTCAACATTCTTAATATCATCCATTAAATCTGACACAAACAATCGTCTGAATGCATTTACAGGGTGGATAAGAATGAAGATGGAAGAATCACCGAAGAAGAAGTTAAAGAGGTAAACATTATTCAATACATTTTCCCCTGAATTTCGCATATTTTAATCCAAATTTCTCAATCAATTCTTCCATGAAAAATTCAAACATGTTCTTGATAGCAAATTGGTAATTAAAGGAACACTTGTTGAATTAATAATTTGATAATATATATTTGGGGGGTGGGTAAAAGAAAACAGGTGAGAAGGGTGGCTGAGTGGTTGAAGGGTTACAGGCATAAAAGGCATTTTTCTGTCATTCATGCATGTGTTGGAGACGATTCGGTGGTCACCTTCTGTTTTCCAAAATCTTGTGGACAGTAAACCCACCCATCCATTAGACACAACTTATCTCATATAAAAATTTGTCTTTCAATATTAAAAAACAATGTAATACTATTTATTTTCAATTTTTTTTATTCCTGTATATATATATATATATTAATAATAATTCATTTTGACATTATATACATCTGTATGTAAGTTATTTATCCGGTATGCACGTGTACATAATATGCACACTGCAATTATTTATATATATATATATATATATATACCATTCAGATAAATAATTATTAAGATGTTACTCGATTTTCTAGTTTTTTTTCCAAAAATTCTATGAAACGCTGAATCTCACCTTATATAAGCACAATTTATCTTGAGATGGGTACATATGATAGCTTTTTTTTTTATTAATATAATTATAATAATGAAACATTATTTTATTGGATATGATTGCAAGTCTACAACTTAGACCATCCACATCCCTGCAATTCATTTACACTTTCAATTGTGCCACATCAGCTTTTGCAATTATCTTCCACACACCTGCAATTCACCTATAACACTTTCAACTGTGCCACGTCACCTACACTTTCAAAAATGGTCCCCACTACAAYATTTATTAAYTWTTTTATAAATTATTTATATATACATTCTAATTATTTTTTAATTAATAACATGTTTTATTTTAATTCAATATTAATTAAAACGATTAATATATGATATAATATGATATAATTTTATATATTAGATTATAATTTTATGTAATTATAAAATTTAATGTTTAAAATAATTTAATTTATTATATAATTAATATAATTAAAAATATATTAACATTATTAATTTATAAAATTAATTGTTTTGTATAAAAATAATTTATTTAAATAATTAAAACAAAAAAAATAAAATTGGAAGGAAGTGGATGGCCCACGTGGCTTGCAATGTGAATTGCAAAATTTGCAATTATGAATCCTATGTGGCAAAGTTATTCTGACAACAATCCATTTGCAATTCAATTTGAAAGATGTATGTGGATGGTCTTATACATGATCTTAAAAGTTATCTTCATAAATTTCTATTACTATTTTTTTTCTTATAAAAATTATACTTCCTTCGTCCTAAAATTGATTAAAATATTCGGTTTCTCTAAACAAAATTTATTTTTAACTATCTTTTTAATTGAATTCTCATTTTAGCTAGAATTTACGTAAAATCTAATATATTAACCCAAACTCAATTTTTAAATTTTGAAAAAAAAAATATGTAAATGTGGATTCATACATAACTTTTTTAAGCAAATGTGGATTCTTACTTAAATTTGCGTTAATCTGAAAATATATAATGCATTTACGTAAACTTTGGTGAAAATGAGAATTTAATGTCAAAAATGATTAAAAATGAATTTATTCGTCTTATAATTAAGGGTATAATGAGAAATTAATCACATACTTTTAAAAATAAATATTTATTTTTGAGTAAAAATATAAACATTTATTATTAAACGAATGGAGTGAATATCTAAGTTGTATAATTAGTTGAGATATTTTGATTTTGGAATAATATTGATTAGTACTCCCTTTTTCTATAACAACAATTTTTTGGACTTATGTGTGAAATTTGCCATCTTTACATATTTAGAAAGTTTTCATATAATGTGCTTATGTAATTGATTGGTTGAGACCTACAAAATTCATATACGTTTTTCCTAAAAATACTTTGAATTTTTAAGAATTAATTATATACAAGATTGAAAAAAATAATTTTTTAGAAAAATAAAAATATTATATGAGTTCGTTAAAATGATGTTTTATCCATTTTTAATAGGTTTTTTTAAAATATACGTGCCCTGTTAATTAGCATATTATTTTTAGATCACCTTAAATCATACCTTATTACTATTATTTAATGGTATATTTTTAGATATTATTTATTCCAGTGCCATTTATAACCAACGGAGTACCAACCACCTTTCTCCTTTTTTCAAAGGAAATTTTTAGTATTTTGGAGAGTTTTAATCTTTCTAATGCATTTTTATGCAAAAAGGAAATGCATATGTGTTCTTCCAGTGTAGTTAAAAATCTTGTTTTGAATTCTATAATACCTTGAAGTAATATTGATATCAGAATTGTTGGATTAATAAAATTTGGGTCTTTAAGAATCTTTTTTAGAGGTTACTGGTTCGATTCCTGCAAAGCCACTAGGGATTTCGTGACTGTTATACAAGTCCTCTGGGATTAGTCAAGATGGACGCCAGCTAGTTCAGACACTGACTGACAAAAAAAGACTGATATTTGAAAAAGTTTTTAATCTCTATTATTCTTTAAAAAATTTAAATAAGTCTTCATCATAATTAAAACACTATAATTCTTTGGACGAGCTAGTATGCTAATACAAAATATATGCTAATACAAAATATATGCATACCGTCTCTAACGTGTAACTTAGTTAACAAGGACTCAATTGACTTTGTCTAAATATAAGACAAATTATGAATTTGATCTCAAACCCTCTACTAGCTTCTGTCATTGAATGAGTCAAAAAATGTTCCCTGATATTGATGTTTTTAAAAACGAATTCCGTATAAAACCGGTTGGATGGGTGATAATCAACTTCTTCTCAAATATATATATACATACTTTTTTGGGGGTTAGATTTGATTCGAAGATAGTAGGATTGAAAAGAATGCAAATTTGATGAACAGATAATAATGCTGAGTGCGTCAGCAAACAAGCTGTCAAGGTTGCAGGAACAAGCAGAAGAGTATGCAGCTTTGATAATGGAAGAGTTGGATCCTGAAAGACTCGGCTACATTGAGGTGCGTGTGGGTTCCACCTTTGCAAACTTTGTACCTTTCTACTCCGCATTAATTAGACTTCTCTTGATTCCCTTTCACATGACATTAGCAACGAAGTCTCTGCATGCATTACCCATCACCACAATAATATACATATACTTAATTATATATATATATATATATAGAGAGAGAGAGAGAGAGGCCGA